TAATTCAAAAATTGCTGAAGTGCTACAAAGACGAGGATAAAGTCAGACAGGCGGAGGAGATAACGCTGAAAAATTGTAACATGGTGTTAAACAAACATGATGCCCATTAGTTAGGTTGATTTTGAGGTCTGTTGTGAGTTAATTCAATTAATGGCACTAAGTTTAAAATTCCTTCAAGAGCAACCACAGACAGTACTTCTGTACGAACATCTCATTGTTCATCAAGTGTTTCACACATTTTATTTTGTTCATCTTTTATTTTTCTATCCAGCAACTTAAGATGTTCCTGTTTTGTTACGTTTCATTAATATATCTAAATTTATGTGATAAAACCTCAATCTTCTGTTTATTCGGCCAGTATTTAATACAGCTGACACAAAATGTCTTTTTTTTTAATTGATCATATCTTGAAAAATTTAGCTCTTTATGGTAAACAAAAAGTTAAATAAACAACATATACCTAATTGTAAAGTGAAGGTTTTTTTCTTTTAATGTTCTGAAACTGACTGAATAAAACCTTTTCCGCTCTTATCTCCCTGATAATTTTATAAAATAACAAATATCAAGCATTAGAGCAACGTAAGAGCTTGTGCTGTAGTCTGGACCCACCTCTCGTATTCGTGCTCGCTGCATCTGTGGAAGGGGTCCTGCACCTCGTAGATGTTGGCGTCGCCTCCGTCGGGATCGTGCGGCCAGCCCAGCCTCGCTCCGTGGAACGGCAGGTTCATATACTCCGGGATCTCCTCGTACAGCGGCACGTTCTCGTACTCCACATCCTCCCTGTGGATGTCGGGGTCCTCGATGCAGCTGCTGGGCCTCCCCAGGCTTTTGTCCGTGCTGGTGCAGTCCAGGGACTGCCCCCCTTTGACCAGCAGCTTTGGCAGCATCTTCACATTCAGCCGCAGCTCCAGCAGCTTGCGGAAAGAGAGGCTCCTCTTCTGGGATGAGCCGGCCCGGGTTGCCAGGTCGGCTGCGGAGAAGGACTGCGCCCTCTGCTTGCCCCCCAGTGCCGGTGCTCGGCTTTTGGGCGGCACACTGCTCCTGGTGGGAATCTGACGGCTGAAGAAGGTGACGGAGGGCCGAGAGAAGCGCCAGGTGGTTTTTTCCTGAGGAGGAGGCGGCAGATCCCTCATGGGGGTGCTGGCATGCGGGGGCGCAGGAGGGCAGACGGAGGGTGGAGGTGGGGCTGGCAGGCTGTGTCTCTGAGGTTTCCTCGGCGGTGCCCGCGGCGACTGCTGATCCTCGGCAGACAGGGCTTTCCGGTGACAGCCCAGTTTGATCTGTTTGGGGAGGCTGTGGGAGATCGGGTACCGCTCGAAGTCGCCGTACCCGTCCTCCTCCTCCTCCTCATTGTCCTGCTGAGCCTCCTTACCGTGACCCTCGGAGTCGGGGTGGGACAGCAGGTCTAAGGAGTGGGAGGTGTTTTTGTTGAGCAAACAGCGGACAGCTCTGTGCAGCCTTGGAGAGAGGGAGGTTTGTCTTGGAGGCGGAACGGGAACGTCCGTCTCTAAATCTACCAAACACGAGTCTCTCTGGGTCTCAGAGTCGTCTGCTTGCTGCAGCTCAGGCTCATTCTTCTGCTCCTCCACCGGCACCGCCTGATCCTGACCCTCCACGCCGTCCTGCCTCACCAGAGCCGGCTTTTTGAACTTCCGTGGGTGAGGCACTGGGAGAGGCTTACTGGGAGCGGCGGGGACTGGTAGATCGGGCAGGGGGCTGATGGGAAACGTCTCTTTTTCTGCTTGAGAAGACTCCGGTGGATGGATGCTCGTCAGGATGTTGCCTGCAACATCACAGGCTGCTGTCTGCTCTGCCGTTTGGGCCTCAGTCGGCACGTCTGAGTCCTCCTCAGTCCTCTCTCTGTTCACTAAGCCCCTATCAAGATGTCTCTGTCTCTGAGGTTTATCCCTTGGCTTTTTGTTAATTCTTTCACTCTTATAGTCGTGGGTCTCCTCCTCCTCTTCTGTGCTTTTGCCAGTGGTGACCCCGTTCTGCAGCGGCTCTTTGTCCAAATCTGCTGCAGATTCATTTGCGTCTCCGTTTTCCTGAGGGTGACACTCCCCAGCGGAGCAGGAGCAGGTGGAGATGATGTAATCCGACTCACGACTCTCTGTCTCAGATAAAATCCCATTCTTAGAGTTGAGGTGGAAGAGGTTCTCATCTAGAGCCGAACCGATGGGTTCGGTTGGTTTGAGCGACGGGGGGAAAACAGGCAGCGATGAGGAGCCCGAGGATCTGGGTAGGCATGGTTTAGGAGCAACAGCTGGCTTTGGCCTCTTAGTGGCGGAAGGGGAGGGCTGGGAGAGAGGACATGGCTTCGGGGCGATGGGAGGTTTGGTTGAAACGGGGAGTTTTGGTTTGGGAGCTAATGGAGGCTTCTTTACACCTGCATATAAAATAAAAAGCAAAACTTTACTTTGTCTCCCTGTACATCAAAGCATCCCCCTCATGCTGAAATGTAAGAAAAGACAGCTGCAAACAGGAGTTTAGGCTGAGGTCAAAGGGAAAATCTTGGGGTCAGAGGGCAAAAACCGAGAGCCAATTAAATTTTTAGAAGATGCCATTCCTTAAATAAATTATGTAAATTGATATTTGAATCTTTTTCTTGAGTTTTTTTTTTTTTTGCCAATAATAGCATAGTTTCTATTGTAGGGCCGAAATGATTAACCGTGACTAATCGATTATGGATCTCAACTAGTTTAGTATTTGATTAATCGTTAACTGGACAAACTTTAAAAAGCCATTTGCTGAAATAAACAACAAACTCAGAGAAGAAATTAAGCAAAAACTGTATAAAATATATTTAAAAAAATTTTAATCCTTTGTTTCTCATTATGTTGGCATAATTTTAGCTTCACCTGGTTCAAATTATTTAAATAAATCTCCTTTAAGAACCTTTTGCTATTCAATTATTAATTGGTAAATCCAAAAAATAAACAGATCAGCCCTACAGTGTACTGATAATAAGTCAGGAAGACAGAGCTGAACTTTTTATATGTTGCTGTTAGTATTTCTTTAGCTGCAGATGAATTATTTGCTACAAATGATCAAGTACTCACTGAAGGAATGCTGTTATTGCATTTTAGGCAAAACAAAATATGTTTTTTTAATTAAAGAAAAGAACTGAGTTGTTTTATTTACATCTTTTAATGTACTTGTAATATTGCATAGGGAAGCCTTAAGAGGTAAATGAAAAATCTGCAGAATGTGACATTTTTTTAATCCTATTAATTGATTAATTGTCAGGAGAATCAATTTCCAACATAATTGTTAGTTGCTTTAGTTAAAGCTCTTTTTTTTTACTGTAAATAAAGCTGCATTTAAACAAAAGTATTTTAAAACTTAAATTTACTTTCCTGGGATTTTAAGTTATAGACAAACAATAACTAAATAACTATGAAGTTAAATAAAAAAAACATGATTTTAAAAGTTTCTTACAAATAAAAATCTTAAAATATGATGCATTTGTATTCTGACTAAAGATGGCAAAATGTGAAAAACTTAAAGTGGTTTAAATATTTCTCCAAGGCCTGAAAAATCAGATAAAGACTGATAAGGTTTTATTTACCGCTGATTTATATCCGTGCACACCTAAAACATGAACAGTTTTCCTGCCACATGTGGATGTCATGGCTATCATTATGTAATTTTCCACATTCTGTAAATTAAATCTGGAAGTGGGGAGACGAGCTGGATGCCCAGCGGGAAATAACCTGGTTTAAATAAAGGACAAAACATCCCCCTGGTCAGACAAATGAAAAGCTGTGAAATCGGCTAGTGGGGATACATTTTCCGCTTTCCTGACTCCTTGCTAGTCGACACCATGAGGAGTGGAGTCATCGAGCGGATGTTTCCAAAAAGGCCAACAAGTAAAAAAAAAAAAAACCTCTGCAAAGCATGCAAGCTGCAAGAATCACCAAACCCCATTCACAATAACCTATAAACATAATGTTCCCTTAAATATAAACACACTCGCTCCATTATTTGTGCATTTATTTACATGTTCTTTTATTATAAGACTCACTTCATAATTCGGCTATAAAATCGAGTTTAAAAATATTCGTTTTATGCTGTTATTACCAAATCAAACAACTAAATCCAAGGATGGCGGTTTTGAGCCTTGATGTTAGTTTGTATTTTAGAAATAAACCGAATGTGTCAGCACATGTTAACGTAATATTCTGGTTCATAAAACATGGAAAAGCGAGAATAAAGCAGGAAAAGTTTAAATTTACTTTTTTGTTTTTGAGAATCTGGCTTTATTTAGATGATATTGCCTTATTTTCTACTATTGAATTTAACAACAACCAACAATCTAAAGTGAAGATACTAGTTTATACCGCTAGAATAGCACATGAACGGTCAGACTTGTTGCATCAACAGCAGGACAGATGTTTGGGACAAAGGATTTACCCCCTCCAGCTACCACAAACACAAAGGATTATAACTGTTATTTAAAAAGCACCCACATTAAACTCAAAACCGATGCTTTTCTATCTTTTTGAAAGCTGTTATTATGAAAAACTGTAATTAACTCTGGGTAGGATAAAAAAAATTGAGTCAGTGGATGCTAGCGACGGTTACAGTCTTACAAATGTAATTTTCTGTTCATTCATAGCGCAAAAACTTAAAGTAACTGAGGCAAACTTTCGTAATTCGTTTTAACTGAAGATAACCACAGAGCTGATCTGCAGCTAGGAAGCGTTAGCTTCGACACAAACCTGTGCTCATGACTCCCGACTTCTTCTCGCTCCTTTCTCCATGAGTAAAAATTTTACTTTCAATGGAACTCCGAGAAAATCGGGATTTTATTTTCCTCCCTCGGCATTGTCAGAGAAAAAATCGACCCAGGGAGAAAGCAAGAGGGTCCATCGCTGTTGTTCCTTATCTCTCCAGCGGATACGCGGATAAAGTTGGTGAGCCAGTTAGTTTTCCCATTTTTTTTATCGAAGTTTTCAGCCACGGTGCTTTTCCCAACAGTTTAATTCAGAGTTGAACTCAACATGTAGTCGTTTTCCGGTTAGTTTCAAAATAAAATTACATAAAAAACAACATAGTTTGAATTTTTTGGATCAGATCGTAAAGAGCAGATTATTATAGATATGATGTATATTATTAATAGTTTTCTTATTTTTGGTAAATATAAATTGTGCGACATACGATATTTTATCAGACCAGTCATGTGTTTTAAATAAGGGTTGATTTATTTTTAAAAGTATTTCCGGTTAGTTTAAGCTACATTTTGCTAGCTTGTCCTCTGTTTCCTTCCGTTGCTTTCTCGAAAATGTACCGCTTCGTTTTACGACCACTTGGGGCGCTCTGCGGGATTTTGAACGGCTCACCACTATGCAGCAACACGTCAACGTAGCTGCCATGTTGGAAGGGGAGACAGCGGCCAAGCAATTATTCAAATAATTTCTACTTTAACTGGGTTAAAAGAGGTTTTGAATTTGGTTATTTAGAATTGTTTGTTTTTATTCTTTTATATATTTTAAAATGTATTCTTTTGTTTATTTTTACTATTTATTTATTGGTGAGTTGAGTCTTTAGTCATGTTGTGCAACTTTGATTCAGGTTGTTAAGCAAAATACTCAAACTAAATATCTAAGACTTGTTCTTATAGAACAAGTATTTAAATCCTTGAAAGATCTTGATTTACAGGTTTATATTTAAAATGTATAAGTTCAGTAGCTGGGCAAATAACAATGTGACTAAGAAAAACTGAAACTGTTCCAACAGTTACAGCAATTTTGACTAGCTTGTTACACTGTTCTGTAACAGATTAGATAATAAATCCTCTGTTTACAAGAAAAAGTAAGAAAACAACATTAACACAGAAAAGCTTACCCTCGTTAACATAAACTCGGTTTATGACTAATGCATTCTGGTTAAAGTATTCTTGTCATTCATTCACTGAGTATCCAGAAATTTTACTCAAGAATAGTAGCGATGCTTCATAATAATATTGCTTAAGTAAAAGGACACTTTTACTTAAATTACTTAAGTGTACATTTAAGATTGCAAAACTAAAATGTACACTTTTTACTCAAAACGTAACTATTTTAATTATATTATATTATATTATATTATATTATATTATATTATCATTCCTCGCGAGGAAGTGGCAAATCGAATTGCAGTTTGGGAATTGTAGTTTTAGCCGAACGTTAGCACCCGGCTAACTCATAACTTCCCAACCGCTGTTTGTGACAACTCTCGCCTCCAACTGGAGAATGCTGAATGGGTTTGGTATCGATGGCGGAGAGCAATGACGGAGGAGTTTGACGAAGATGTGGTATTTGAGGTTTGTATAAACTCGCCTCTTCTTCTAAACGAACTGATGCTTTGTCATAACCATTGGAGGTAAATATGGGCTCATTAACAGGCTAACAGGTAAGCTAGCGTCGCTTTAGCAGCCTCCTGCCTGTTGCAGTGTAATCCCAAGCAACTCCACATATTTGGCTGAGTTTCTGAGCGTGTTCCTGTCGAGCCAAGGAGCTTTGGTGGTCATGAGGGAGGCTGAGCCGTTGTTTCATCCGCATTTATAACGAAGTGGGGTGGGGATGATCACATCTAGTGCTGCTGCGTCGGTTCTGAAAAATGACTCCAGCGTAGCTCTACATCTGAGTGTTTCCTTGGTGACATGAGCTGCGACTTCGTGTGACAATGCATGTGAGTAGCTATTGTTTGCTATAGCTGCAGTGCAGGCAGTTGGCAACGATTGTAGATGTCTTGAAATGCTTTCCTGCAGGAATTAAACACAAAGGAGCTGCTCAGATGGATATCACCCAGAAATATGGGCTCAGCAGCTGGGAATAAATGGGTCAGACATCATTTGGATAAAATCATAATTGCATAACAGACTGCACTTTTCTATCTGGGATTAAACAAGCTTATGCTTTTTTTTCTAAAAACAAAATTAACATGCCTGGATTTTTATTCACACCATGTAAACATGAGACCAGTTTCATCTCACATCCTTTCATCTTGATTCAGCTGACATGACATTTTCCTCCTCTTCCTCATTCAGATCAGTAAGTTTCTCTTTCTCTCCATCTCTGCAGAACTCCCCGCTGTTCCAGTACCTTCAGGATCTAGGGCACACAGACTTCGAGTCATGTCCGACGGCGTCGCAGGAGGAGGAGGAGTACGGCGGTGCAGAGGGAGACCTGGGCTCTCGTGGCCAAGAGCAGCAGAAAACCTCAGTGAGTTCTCCTCCATCCTGCTTACTGATACGAAACAAGCTTTTCTTGGTATTCATGAGAGATTACTGAAGATTTGTCCCGCTGAATATCACAAGTTTTATTCATTCCACTATCAGATGGAATCCAGAATGAACAACGCATTTAATCTCTTCATTTGGTCAATTTTCAAGATATTTTACATGATAATTTAAGGAAATATAGTGAATTATGCAACAGTTTACTATCTGATAATGTCAGGTAAAACATTAAAGAGAGAGTCTAGAATTTAGTAAAACCATTTTTTAGATTTGGATAAGAATATAAAAAGACAATAGAGTATTATATTTATTTCCTTTTTTATTCTATATCCATCAAAATTAATGCTTTTTCCATTCATTCTTCCTCATTTCTCTTATTTTTACAGTTTTTTGTTAGCCTTGTACTGTATGTATGTATTATTATTATCATTGCTATTGTTAATCTTTTTTTTACATTTATTGTTTTTAACACTAAGAACTTTTTGTCTGAATCTTTATTTCTGTTGCTTTATTGCAAAAGAATAAAGGTGGTTTTATTGTAGAAGGTGACAGCTGTTGGTATCATTTTGTGGTTTAACTGTATAATGATAATAATGATGATAATAATTTGATGCATCAAAGGAAATTTTTGCAGTAGATATCAGCGTCGCAGTGTGATTCTCTTGTTCTGCATCCATCCTGGCTTCCTCTTGCGTCCTGAAGCAGCGTCTGTGTTTTTCATGTCATTCCCCTTTAATCACTTGTGCAGTCAGATAAAAGTAATTAATTAGACTATTGACCCCAAAAAAGGACACATGCTGGCTTCTGACAAACAAGGCAACAAACATGGCAACAAACATGGGAGCAGAAGCTTCTTACATCCAGATTCAGGTATCATGTTTTTACATTTTGTTTTGCTTGTTGCATCGGGTAGATATAAAAAAAAAAAAAAAAAAAAGATGGCCCTGATTTTATAAGAGATTTCTGTAATGTGATTACAGCCATCTGGTTGTTTTTTCTCCGATGTAACCCCTCACTCCAACAGCAACTTATGGTAGTATAATTTCTGTGTGTTCATTCTCCAGATGTTTTTAGTAGAACTGAGCGCAACCTGAGGATTAAAACAACCATTAATGACTCTAGTTTTAGGTTTTATTCAGCTGTGCAGGCGACGTGTCCCGGTAAGCTTAGGTGGGTGGGAGGGGGGATCACATGACTCAGCCTCTCCTTGTTTGCTCTCCTCATGAAAACGGGAAGCGGAGCTACGCTCGCCTCGCTCGGGAACTTTCCATGCGTGTCATGCTTCCTCCCCGGCGGTGTGTTGTTCTACAGAGTTGAGGAGGATGAGAGACTCAGATCTGACTCTTCCCTCTTCCAGCCATTTCCTGAAACCCAGATAAAAGTTAAACTCGGATAGATAACTGTCGGTGCTGCTTCAAACACTCATAAATGTCAAAGTCCTGATTTGCTGCTGTGAAGGTTTGCACAATTTTAAAGGATGCATTCTTTAAATTGCGTTGTGATATATTGCAGGCGGCAGTAGACGACGTAAACTTTGTTCCAGATGCAAAAACATGCAAAACTGGATTAATTTCTCTGGAATATAATAAGTATATATGACATTAACATATGAAGCAGCTCTCTGTTTATGTTTTATAGTACTGAAGTACCTTGTTACACAGACTGCTACATAATTTATAGCCTCATTTACCTGTTCTCTTTCTTTTTATTGTACTTGAACTGCTTGTGCAAATACAGTCCTGGGGAATTGTTCAGTCTACCAGTAAATAATTTATCTGGTATAAATGTATCCTTTCATGTGAAACGTCTTTTCCCATTACGAACATGGAACAGTGCATACGTTTTCTGTGGTTAAGTTGTCATGTTTTATGTGTCTACTAGCTTCACATATTGTTATTTTTCTTCCACTTAATAGTTTTGTTCTACTTTGTTTTGATCTATCAAATAAAACCCGAATGAAAAGCTCGACAACGAAAAAACGGTAACACTTTATTTGAAGGGGGGTGAATAAGACTGTCATGACACTGTCATAAATATGACATAACACCTGTCATAAACACGAATAAGCCTTCATGAATATTTATGACTGTTGTCATAAAGCGTCATTCGATAAATTATGACACTTTTAACACAAAGTTGACATTATTCAAAATGTCTTTGTTATGACAACTTGACATTAACTAAGAAATCATTACTGTTTAACTTTACCTTTAATAACATAAAGTTACCTCATTTTTAAAGTGCAATCAGTAATACTTTTATAACAAATTTATATCTGTAATGATTTCTTGGTTAATGTCAAGATGTCATAACAAAGACATTTTGAATAATGTCAACTTTGTATTAAAAGTGTCATAATTTACCGAATGACGCTTTATGACAACAGTCATAAATATTCATGAAGGCTTATTCATGTTCATGACAGGTGTTATGTCATGTTTATGACAGTGTCCTGACAGTCTTATTCACCCCCCCTTCAAATAAAGTGTTACCGAAAAAACACCTAAAGGCTTCTTCTATATCTTCACCAATGATTCGGGAAAGAGAGAAACTTAAACGCAGATACTCTGGAAATGGAATAATTTCTTTTAGCAAGACAAAAAGTAAACTATACATAACATTACGGTTCAGCTGTGGTGTCACTTTCAACTGGTTTGTGAACCAGTTTAACGAAAATAGCAAAATAAATGTACATGATTTGCTGTTAAAGCCAAATCATTGTTTCTGTTTCTGCTTTATTTTGGAGAGACTTTGCATGCAGTCCCACACTTTTCTGCACAAGGACCTTTTACTCCAGCTCCTTGAATTACTAACACTCATCAGAGCTGCAGTTTTTCCAGAAGCAGCAGCAGAATTCAGATGAGCGTCAACATGAGCACACCAGAGTAATAACTGGCTTTGATCCATCCAGGCCTTGCATCATTTCTGGTGTTGATTATCGTCTGTGGTACGGCTCTGGGCAGAGTTGTGGCCTACTTTGATAATGCTGCGGATAAAACTGATGATCAGTGGCGTGTGACCGTCCCGTTGGTAATCAATACGGCTGCAGTTGTAGAGTAAACACACTTAACCGCCTCTGAAACTAAACAAACATGAGCGCCGACATGAGTCCCATTTTCACTCAAACACGGTAAGCAGATTAGAGTCAAATAAATCCTGTCCACATTGAGGTGTTATGCATTTTTGGGAGGATCTGGCAACAAAACCGAGCAAGATTTTGAAAAACCCCTTGAGCTTAGTCATGCATCCAAACGGTGCTGCACTGAAACATTGTAAAAGTCTGTGGTGATTTCCCTCAGTGAAGGTGTTGACAGGCGAATATGCTGGTTAAAGTGCGTTTTGTGTATTTCTGTAACAGAAATACAGTTTGATGATTGACTTGGCTTTTTATTAAAGTGCACAAACATGACAAACTCCTTACAGAAACTGAAACAAGTTTTATAGTTTGTGCAGCAGAACTCCTTTACAGATTATTGCATGACAGACTTTGTGAACTGGGAAACTCCTTTGGTGTGTTTGTTGACTTAAGAATTTGTCCATAAAAACGTCATACTGCAAAAACACAAGTATTACCAAGGATCTTTGGTCTAGTTTGCTGTGCAAATATCTTAGTATGTTGAAATAAGGCAAAACTAACTTACAAGTAACTTTGCAGGAAGTTAAAGGAGCTTGTATTGCGTAAATAATTCCTTAATGTGATGAAAATGTATTAGTACCGATTACTTTACTTGTAACAAGATGTTTTTCATGTTATAAGTGAAATAATCTGCCTGTGGAAATATAAGTTTTGACTTCAACCAAGCTCCTGTGTCTTACTGAAAAGTTACTTGTAAGTTAGTTTTGTCTTATTTCAGGCGTTCTATAAACTAGACCAAAGATATTTGGCAAGGTTTTGTGTTCTTGCAGAGCAAATAATTTAGCAATCTAAACAGAGATAAGCCTATTGTGAGTTTATCTCTGAATTGTTTGGTTATGTTTCCTTGCTGTGCGTCTCTTGCAGGGAGGATGTTTATGGAGGCTGGTTGAGGCCTTGCGGAGATGGAGTCCTCTTCACCAGGCAGCTGAATCCCGTAAGCTGGAGCAACAGCTGGTACGTCCAGAAATGCATTTATTTTTTTATATCATTTGCGAAATGTTTATTGTTTGTGTTTTGCTTTACTGGTTTTCCCGCCTCGTCACAGGACGGCGTCTTCGGCCAGTACTCGGTCAGATGCATCCTGGACCAGGACGTTCTGCTGCAGGAGGACGTGGAGCTCATCGAGCTGCTGGACCCGAGCCTGCTAACCCTTGGCTCGTCGCCTTCCGGCTCCCCCAGCCGAGTCGGCTCCCTTCCCAGGCAGAGTTTCGTCTCCACTCCATCGCTATGGTATTTCTCTCTTTATAATTAATTCATTTAAAATGGACATTGTTCATTAATAATTAAACAAGTTAAAGGTAAATATGTCCAGGTTAGCTGGAAAGCTAGCTTGAATGAGTATGTCATATAATTAAAATATTTTATTTATTTTTTATATTTTTCTAGTTAAAAAAAACTAAAACATTGTGCAATAAATGTGATTGTTCCAGCAAAGACGATCCACATCAATAAAACTAACAAGTGTTTAGACATTGCTCATTCTTAATAGCTCATTTGTTTACATTGTGCTTGAAGATATAATAAATATCTGTACATTGGTAAACAATCCTATTCATTATGAAATGTCTCCAACTGAGAAGAGAAGGTAAAACAATAATATACATCCCAAAAAATAATTGTACCTGGCATGCAGCCCTGTGGGACACCAGTTAACAAACATAGGAACCTGGATTTGTAGTTGACAATTTTACCAGCTAAAGCTACTTCAACATCAAATAACTTGACTATATAATATTCTCCAGTTTTATTATAAGTAATGTTTTTGTTTATCACAATAATTACTGACACAGTTCATCACCCTGCTTGTGCAATCCTTACATGACTGCAAATGTTCAGGCCTAAATACCGTAAGTCACAATCATTAAGGTTTTGGGAGACAATATGGCTGAAAATTGTTTCATGTCAGTCGATATTGATAATTATTGATTAGTTTTCGGTTTTGAATATCTGAAATATTACCAAATTGTAGTCGTGACCTTGTGTTTGTTTAGTCCACAGTTTTTACTTCACGCTGTTATTTTTTTATTTTAAATATAAAAACAGTAAAAGCACCACAGTAACAAAAATTTTAACTACTGCTGCGGAACTTACTCAACAGGCTGTTGCTAGGTAACCAAAGACAGACAGAGGGAGTTGCTATGTAACCGAAGAGAGAGTGAGTGAGTTGAAACCACCAACAGAGGTTGAGCAGCTAAAGGTTTTCCTCTGCCCCCATTTCCCAGAATGCTGTGCGGTTCTGGATCAGAGTTCAGTGAATATTCTATCACATGTATTATGTATTGATTTTGATTTCAAGTCTATGATAATACATATATTTATTGATTCATTGTCCAGCTTTAATGCTAACCCTGGTGTAAAAAGCTTAACCTTCTCTTCTTCTACTTTACTCAGTTAATAACGATGGATTTATTTTGTCAGGGATGTGGCGGGGCTGCTGGGCCTGGCTGCCGTGCTGCTGGGCATCTGCTGCTCTCCGGACAGCCTGTGGTCCCTGGCTGCGGCCCCCTGGGCTCTGGCCCTGCTGGGCTGGGTGGCACTGAGGGGCCTGGCGCTGTGGAGACGGAGGCGAATGCAGAAGGACGTCCAGACCAGAACCATGCGGCTCCAGACGCTGGTCAATAACAGCAAGACTCTGACGGGACTGGCCCGAAAAGCCCTGCGGCTGGTCCAGGAGACGGAGGTCATCTCCAGAGGGTTCACCCTGTAAGTGCTTCACTCTTCCTCATCCAATCACAGAAATTCTTCTAGATTGATTTATTCCAGATTGATTCATTATGAAAGGGGGAATTTTAGGATAACTTAGTGTACTGCTTTTAACTGGATCTTTTGCAGTAATTTAAACCAAGTTGGGCGATATGAACTTAAAATTTTATCACAATATTTTGTGTTACTGTTGTGACGATGATAAAGAGTTTGATAAAATACTTATTTCTTTCAGGTAACTGTATTACTGTGATACATGACACAGCATTCATGGCGCCAAAAACACAAATATTGTTGCTGAAAAACATTTCCATTTGAATTAGGCGTCTTCGGGACTCTACTGACTTTAAAATAAAGATTGATTCATATCACTAAACTGCTCACAGTAACTGCAGTTAATCATATTTTTGAATTGACTAAGATTTATTGATTCTCTATAAATGGAGAAAATGGCAAAAATAACATTTCCAGTCATACTGTTTTTTTTTTTTTTTTAGTTTACAATAAATATCTGGAGTTTATCATAAAAGTAAATCAAAATTTTTACAAGAAAATTTTTCACGCTAAATGATAAATGATAAACGATACGATATGATATGATACGATAAATGCCCACCCCTAATTTAAACTACAAATAATCAAGACTGACATTAAAGGGTAAGGATGCGCTTTATTTTGAAAGTGCAACATGTTTTAAGCTTATTAGGAATTTTGGAAAATTTGAACATTTAAATGGAAGACTTTCTTTGAATAACATTGTTGAGCTTTATTTAGAAAAGACAGTAGATAGGATAATAACAAATTAAGGCTCAGATAAATGGATCCATGATTTTAATAACTTATCACGCAACGTGTGGTTTTAATTCTGTTTCTTATTTAATGGAAACGTCACAATTGTAAAATTGTATTTTGTGATATTGACAGAATATTGACAAAGTTTTGCACACATTTATAATGAAAATGCAGCAAGTGACGCTGCATTGTAATGATTCTTCATTATCTTATTTATTATCTTTAAGTCCTTTTTGTTCTTTTCTTTCTTCCTTGTATCCTGTCTGTCTTTGTTTTGTCCCTCTTTATCTCATTTTTCTCTTTATTTCCTTAGCTTCTCTACCTTCATCCGTCTATTTATTCCTCCTTTCTCCATGTGTCATACCTTTTTTCCTTCGTTTTATCGTTCTTTCTCTACAGTTTCTGGTTTTTGCAGGCTTCATGTTAAAGCCTGGCCACTCTAGAAATATCTGCTGTAAATTTGTAGTGAAATTTAATGTTTTATGTCTAGAAAAAAGAACCTAAAACTCTTAAAAGTTTGGTTTTTTTTTTACATGAAAGGTGCATTTGATTGATGCCGAGTAGCGTTCATGTCTCAGTCGTCTGTCTTGTGTGTTGTGTGTGCCCCCACGCCTCTTTGGGACGTCTCCACAGTTGTATCACATTTCACTTGTCAAGTTTGCTCGACAGGGTGAGTGCGGCCAGCTCCTTTAGCAGGGCGGGGCCCGGGGCGGTGCCTCGCAGCCAGCAGCTGATGGGACTCCGGAAGGTGCTGTACCGGGCTCTCCGCTCGGCCTTCAGAGCCTCGCGCCGGGCCACCTGCCACATGCTCAAAGCATATCCTTCACCTGAGTAAACCAGGACCTCCGTGATGTGCGCTGCTGTAAAACTTCCTGATGCTTTCAGCTGCTTTTGTGCCACTGCTGCTGTTTGATTTGGATTCATTTGATTAATGTTTTCATACACAGCGTAAATTAGAGGCTGTGAAGGATTTCAGTGTCGTCTCGGAAGTTATCAGATTTTTTTATTTATTTATTTTCTTTACATTAATGTGACTATTTACTACCCAACTCTGATTAATTTAATATAGTTCTAAGAGATTTTTCTTTTTCAGCATTTTCATTTTCTCTGCATTTTTTTTAATCTATTTTCATTTGTCTTTTTTTCTCTTTTTCACCCTTTTCATTTCTCTGTTTTCATGCTCGTTTTGGTTTTTTATTTCTTCTTTTTCCTTTTCTGCTTTTTCTTTGTTTTCATTTCTGTTCTGTTTCCTTCATCTGTTCTATTATTTGTTGTTTTAGTTTTTTTCCCTTTTCAGTTTTTTTCCTTTCATGTTCCATGCTTGTTTCTATTTTTTTCCTTTGTTTCTTTGTCTAATTTTATTTACATTTTCCTAATTTGATTTTTCCCTTTTGTCTTTTCTTTTTCAAATTTTTTATTTCTGTAATTTTTCTTTTTTTCCAGTTTTTTTGTTCTTTATTTACCTTCCTTTTTATCCTTTTTCATCCCTGTTTATTTCCTTCTGCAGCAAAATATTATTTTTTTTTATTAGCTCAGATCCCTAACCTTCCTTTAATGACTTTCAGAATAGATTTTTTGATGCATCAGGACATATTTTCACCAAAAAGATCCCTTCACATTAGGTGAAATAAGCCTGAGACATAAACCAGGAACAAATTAAAGTTTATAGATGTGAACATTGCTTTTCCAGATATGTTTTGTGTCTTTAACTCCCCTGAACGTTCCCGCTGAACTCTGAGGTCGACAATGTGACCAACTACGTGTGCGCGGTGCCTCTGAAGGAGCTGGGCCTCGGCCTGGGGATCGAACACCTGGGGGACGAGCAGGCGCAGGAGCTGACCGACGACTACAGCCTTCCAGCCCTCAAGGTTCGGCCTCTTCACGCTTAAAGTTTGGTATTCCCTAAGTAAAGGAATCAGAAGATGGAGAAACTTTGAAATAGAAACGCAAACAATTTATCAACTTAGAATTATTTGTCGGTTAGCGGTTTATTAAATTAAAATTTGTTCCAATCGATTAACTAATAACGTAAATTAGACCTTCTTTTAATGTTGTAGTTTGGTCGCCATCCAGCAGAGGGCGCCGCTGGTCGGAGCCGTTGAGGTAGAAACAAAGATGGCGGCCGTATCAGAACGGGAAAGAGAAACGGCCCAAACAGAATCCGGTTTGGGGTGTGCAGTGCACTGTATGCGGTTCTGTTTTGAAATAATAAACACTCGACAAACTCCTTAAGTGGTTTTGAAATAAAAATACTCGACAATCTCCTTAAGTTATCACCTTTATGGCGCTCATTTGAGCTACATAACGGAGCAGTTAGCAGTTAGCAACGAAACTCCTCAAACAGCCGATGTGCTACGAAGTGAGGCTAATAAGTCACTAAAGTGGAGGGGATAGTGGTGAAAAATTGTAGTATGATGGGGAAAAACACGATGTCACTAAACAAGGCTGATTTTGTGGGCTGTTTAGAGTTAATGTAATTAATTTACTCTATTCCTTTAATCATCTTCTAATTTTCTATTCAGAAACTTAAGAGGTTCCTGTTTTGTTGTATTTATAAAAATATTTTTAAGTTTAATATAAGAAAAGCACAATTCTCTGTTTATTCAGTGAGTATCTTATATTCACTGAATAAACAGGGAGTATATACAAAATATGTTATACGTTAAAATGTAATGATTTTTTAAAATTTAGTTTATGAAAAATATAGTTATTTATATAATGGCAAGATGGTCAGTCAAGTTTTTAAGAAAATAGCCACTTAGTTAATCATTAGTAGATCAGTAAGATTAATCAGCTTTTAGATTAACTGATTATTATTGTATCCTCTGCAGATGTTGTTCCAGCTGTGGTTGGGTCAGAGCTCAGAATGTTTCCGTCGACTCGCTCTCCTCCTTTCACCGCACCGAACCAAGGAGTCTGAGGAAGGCAGAACCAAAGAAGACATCCCTCTTCCTTCATCTCCCTCACTTCCTCCACCTCCGCTGCACCGGTCCGTCGCCGCGGTGACAGAGCCCCTCCATCACGCCCTGGCCAGCTGTCTTGGCGATGTGCAGCGCAGCTACGACTTCCACCGGCACTTCGAGATGCAGCCAAGGACATCGAGCGCCGACAGCAGCGGACGAGCAAGGGAGAAATGCCGGGAACTCAACGCTTTGCACACATCCATCCGCAGCCTGCAGCTCCACCTCAAGGCGCTGCTCAGCGAGTGAGACTCATGCACAACTCGCTTTGTTTCACTTTGTCCGCATTAAATCAAGGCCAGATTGACCATCACCCTTTTGAACCAACAGGATGATCATCTTGGAGGACGATCTGGAGAAGCTGATGGTGTCCAAGGAGCTGACGGAGCTGACGCTCGAAGGCTACCGTGACCTGAGCGAGCGGCTGCAGCAGCTGCAACCCCACATGCAGGCCAGCGCCGGCTGCTGGGAGGACACGGTCTGCCAGGTGGAGCGCATGCTAAGACGAGCCAACGCCTGTACAGGTAAGCAGGGAAAGTAAAAACGGCACACGTAGCACTTTATCAGTTATTTATAACAAAACACTTAAATCCCTGGCACTCCTGGTACAGAACTGTTCAAGTCCTGAGAATAAATGTCTTTTATTGCTGCAGCATAGTCTGAGAAACCAACCTTAAATCACAGTACATTTATTCAATTCTAAAAAGCTAAAAGAAAACCATATAAAAGTATCAGAACTTCTAAGATTTTCTAATTTTTAAATGTGACCTTTTATGCTTCCTTGAACAGTTAGGATAGATCTAAGGACTATACCAGGGCTCTCATTTTGGGCCATATCATAAATCTGAATGTTCTTAAAGAACCGATTGTGCCAGAATATGTCGACAAAACCAATTAAACTGTTAAAATATCAATAAATAGCTGTTCCTCCAGGATTTTGTGATTCTTAGTGTTTTTAAGGCTGAGGAAAAAATGTGGAGATACATTGAGTTTGTGTGAATTTTACAGATTTGTGAAAAACTGGAAGGACTTATTGATGTAGTTTGGGGTCTAACGGGCCACATAAAATGTTACAGCGGGCCAGATTTGGCCCCCAGGCCTTGAGTTTGACACCTGTGGACTATACAAACGTCTTGTCACTTTACATCCCAATAAGCTGCTGCTGGCCACAACCAAGAAGCACTGCATGCCCAATTAAAGCATAGTGGAAGATCTGTCGTGCTCTGGGCCTGTTTTTCCTCCACTCAAAGCTCCAGTGAGCTCACAGCGCCCCCTCTGTCCAGGTAATCCTGACGACACGGAGCAATTTGCTCCTCTTGTTCCTCAACTTCCTGCTGCTCCTCCATCCTACCCGCTCATCCTGGACAGAGACCCGGTGCCAGAGGAAATGGTGAGATAAGATCCCCGACTTTTCAGCTGAAAACTCACACTCCGTTTGTCTCAAACGTAGATTCCCGTCCCTCTGTTTGGTCCCGCCAGGAGCTGGAGGCCTACGTCTCCGACTCGGACTCGGACGGGGAGGGGAGAGGTTCCTGGTCCGACGTTCTGTCCCCAGAGGAGCGGGAGCGGCAGGGGAGGGAGAGGGAGGAGTCGCGGCGCGTCCTGTCGGAGCTGAAAGCCGTCCTGGGTTTCCGAGCGTCCGAGGGGGAGAGGATGAAGAGGAAGCAGATGCTGTTCAGCGACCAAGGTCTGGAGTTATTCCTGGAGTGAAGCTGCTGTAGTTTCTGCTTCCAGTCTGGATGACAGAATAGAAAAGCTGCAGTTCTCAGCCCAAACAAGCAAAGTTGCAACTACTGTCTTAGAACTCCTTCACATTAGTCAGAGTTGGCTAGTAACTAATTACTTTTACTCAATTACATTTACTTGAGTAACCTGGGAGGAAACTTACTTTTACGAGTATTTTTGCTACACTGTACTTTTTAATTTTACGAGTTCTGGATTCTCTACCCAGAAACAGAAATTCACCATTTTTGTTAGTTTTACCAGTTTTATTTTGAAAGAAATTGATTTGGAAATATGCTTCTTTTGCCTGATTTTATTTTGTAATTATGTTATTGATATAAATTATTAAAATTTTGATCTTTACCAAAATTTCCAGATAAACTTTATGTTTTGGTCTGTCTGATATAATTTTTAAAATTATTTATGTTTTGATTAGTTGCTCAGTAGTCGAATCGCCTTTTTACCAAACAACTTTTTACATTTACTGGAGTAGAAACATGTTGAAGTAGTGCTGCTCTTACTGAAGTAGTTTTTGGGTTGATTATTTATTTATTAAGCAATTAATAATTGGACAATAAAAGCTGCAATAGGATCTCTTTTTTTTTTTTTTTTTTTACAGAATATGAACCAGGTGAAGCTGAAACTTTTCCATCATAATTACATAGGCTTTCTTTAAATTAAATGTAAAATGTGGGTTTTTTTTGTACAGTTTTTGCTAAATTGCAGCTCTGAATATTATTTTCTTCCAGCAAATGGCCTTTTTTTTAGTCTATTAATGATCAATAATTAATTAATCACAATTAATCTGATTAATCTTTACAACTCTAGTTGTAGTAAAATCTTAAGTGTTTTCTTTCTGCCTCTCTTGCAGCTGCTGCATTGCCTTTGGTTCTGACCCAGAGTCCTGATGCTCCGGGTCCAGTGGGCGCTGCAGGAATCGGTTCTGAGGAAGGAAACTACCTATCAGAGCGGCCGGCAGGAAACAACGGGGAGCCAGGGGAAGGAAAGGACGACAGGGTGAGGCCTGACCCAGTTACAGAGTTCAGCTGCGGCTCGGAGGAAAGCGAGCGGGGCGGACCTTCTGGTGGAGGCGGAGCTTCAGAGCTGCACCAGTACGACGGCGTCACGGAGGAGGAAGAGGAGCGTCAGAACGGTCTGGACTGCTTCCTGAAGCCGAAAATCCCCGCCGTGTCGGTGCTGGACAGACTGACGGAGATCCACGGCTCGGAGACGCTCAGCTTCAGCTCCGCCCTCGCCGCTCAGGTGGCGGCGCGCTCACAGTCGCTCGCCAACAGGGAGGAGCAGACGTTTGGAGATGATGAGGAGGAGGAGGAAGGAGGAGAAAACTTCAGAACCTCAGAGAAGGATTAGACATTAAGCAGAAGCTGTATTTATGTCTCAGTGCGGTCTTCGTCTCGCTGCGTCCTGATGTTCCACCCGTCCGTCCGTCATTCTGTCACCTGCGACTCTGACAGCTGTGGAAACTCAGGAACAAGAAACACAAAACAAGAAAACCTCCCCGCATCGCAGCGAGGCTCAAGTAGCAAAACATCCTCAGCTGCCACCACATCATTTCATATCTGCAGTCAGTTTTTATGTAGCTGATTGTTACTTCACTGCTGAACTCTGTGTTTATTCACTAAGCAAATGTTTGTTGGATGAATTTGGCCAAAATTATGTATAATTGCAACTCTTCCTATTCTTAAAGACCAATTTTATGCTTTTATAAGACTAAATCTGACCTCATATCATATAAAAGTTGCTTATATTTAGGAAAAACTTGACCACTTGTTGAGCGTATAGCACCTAATGTTTATGAAATATATATATTTATTTCTCTACTGTTTTGACATGTTTAAAAAAAACAGAAACACAGATAAATGGCAATATCTGTTTTTCATATCAAACTGATACAGTCCATTAAAAAATGACCAATATCGTCTGATATCAATGTTATTGTTGATTCCAAGGAGCAAATATTAAAGGAAAACATAGCAAATGATTAGGAAAATAAAGGCTAATTTCCCTTTAACACATGTGCAGCTCATGAGAAAAAGAACTGGAGACTCTGCAGCTTTTCAGTAAAACTGGTCCAATTTGTTGGTGTGTAAACACAAACCGTTCTGCAGTGAAATCCAGAAACAATCATGAACTCAGCTGACTTCTTCTCCTAAAGACACGAGGGAAGAAGAAGAAGAAGAAGAAGTCTTGTGCTATTTTTTTTTTACAATCAGCGCTCTATTTTGGTCCTGCCCCCCCCCCACCCTCCCTGTTTCCTACATGCCATTTGCTCTGGTGGGGTCAAAGCAGAATGTACAGTCACAGTGACGTAAAGAGAAACTCCCATTTCATCAGTGTGTGTGTTTACAGGGGGAAACGTTTGGGTTTGAAGTGGTTGACGTGAATGTAATTTACCGCGATGCAGATTTGAAGTTAAAAACTTCTTTTTTTTTTTTTTTTTCTGAGGCCGGGGTGTCCCTTTAAAAAAAAAACCCAAAAGGTGTAGGCGTCAGTCCTCGTCTCCACCTTGTCACCATGTTTGCCTTTTCCCGACCCTTCCTGCATTTTTTCACTCTGAAATAAAACGCCACTCTGGAAGTGTTGAATGAAACGTGTCGTCGTCTGTCACTGTGGGGCTTTACAAACTGGTTCTGTGGGTTATTTGATCTGGCTTTCTGGATTTTGCACCCCGACTAGTTCACACCAAAACTGAATTAGTTTTTTAATGAGCTTCACTTATTTGTTACATTTCAGGGTTTTTAGAAGTCATTTCTCAGATTAACAGGAGAGAAAACTATATTTCACATCTTCATTTACATAGTTATTTACCTTTTTGACATATAAACATTACTAGTTTATTATATTTAGCTTATTTCTTAAGTAAAATAATTTTTATAGTTATATTTATCTTGTAAGTGAAACATTCAGTTTAACAAGATATTTGAGAAAAGAAAGATCCATCTTTTTATCAGCTTACAGTAAATAAATATCTGACTAACCAGTATCCATAAACACTTCTAGAAGCATTAGCTATCTATTTAATATTTACATTATTTATAAAATGTTGAAAATTACAATCCGTTGAGTCTTAATTGATTTTAATGTTTTATAATTTTGGTCACTGGAACAGCTTTGCCATCTAGTGGGGTTTTCTATACCTGCTGGTCTCAGTGGTAAAAACAACTTTTAGCAGTAATAGAAATATTTCATACATGCATATATTACAGTAGACAGGTACTAAAATATATATATGTAATAAAAAATGTACAAACATGCAATGAGAATTGTAATATCTTCAGTTAATTTATGAAAAACTTTTTATATATTATTTTATAATGTAAGCTATGCTACCTAATACTGTTTAGTTTTATTATATTAATTTTTTATAGCATCATTTGCAGTTAATACATTTTATCCCATATTTGTTTAATTTGGTGAAAATATTTTAGATATATTGTATACTCTACTGTCGTCTTTTTTCTTGCATAGCACAAATTGGTTATTTATTATTATTATTATTATTATTATTATTATTATTATTATTATTATTATTATTATTATTAATAAACATGTTTAATGCATGCGTTATCTAAAGGTATTCCATCTTTGGCCTTCGCTGAATCGGCAAGTTTTTACCTTGTGAGGCGTTTTATTGCTTAAATCTGGCTCGGATATATTCCCACTACGCTCATGGCTGTAAATAGATTTCAGTTAATAAATATTCAGTTGATTGACATATTAACCTTTTGAAGACGATGTTTAAGTCGATGAGACATAAACATACATTGCAGGAAATAATATAAATCAATTTATAAGCAAAGGTTAAAACTGTAATGCAGCGACGACTGCGGTTTTTAAAGTAACGAGTGTCCGTGAAGGCAGCAATAGTTCCCTCCTGCTTCCTTTTCCAGCAGTGCCTGCGATCATGGCGGACGTTGTGGCGGAGCAGATAGTGATCCAGAAGCCTGTTCACGAAAGGGAGCTGAACGGGGAGGCCGAGATCCGGGAAGAGGCCGACCCAGTGGACGAGGCAGCAAAAAAGAAGAGGAAAAAGAAGAAAAAGAGCAAGTCTGCAACGACAGGTAAGGGTTTTCTGTGGCTGCTGTTGTGCTAACAGGCTAACGAAGCTAACATTAGCTTAGTTAAAGCTGCGCCAAACTAGCCAGGGTTAGCCGCACTGGAGTCGGAAATGTTTAAATGTAGCCCTAAAATGTACATGACATAAATGCACATACACTTATATTGCCTACTCTAACATTGCATACTTGTTTTGGAGTGATTTTGAAACATTTACCATGAAGTTTTGAGTTATTTCGGATCGTTAAAGATAGCAAACTTTCTGCGTTAATTACAGCTGTGAAACGCTAAGCCATCTGCAGTTTCTTTCGTCGTTAAGCTATGAGAAAATGGATTATGTGTTGCTTTTAAAAACAGGTCAACTAAAAGATCTCGATTAGTAAAAACCATTAAATTTGTGCTGCATTATTCTACCCACTTTAAAATACTGGTTATGATATCTGAAGAGGGTGCAACGCTTCCAAATTGTATGAATTCAGTGTTATTGTTTTTAAATGTAACAAACCGAAATGAGAACATTTCAGTTTCCCCAGGTATGTTTTCAAGAAATGTATTCAATGTACGACAATTCTGTTTTATATAGGCTTGTTTTTAAAGCCGATTGTCGTGTTCTTCGGTTTTATTGACAAAAAAAAGGCTTCAATAAAGCCAAACCGGAAATTTTAGCTAATCCAGTGTCGCATAGAATAATTTAGTTTAGGATTAACTAATCGAGTGATTTACATTTTTGAACTATTTGTTTTACTTTGGAAGGTTGAACTAGCCCTTTAATGGATTACCATTGTTGTTTAATATGGCAGTTTTTAGTTCCTAAAACTTTCCTTCAAAAATAAGTGAATCTCTTTACTTCCAGTAAGTTAAAGTCAGGGTTGTGTGTTTGACAACAAAATCTTTCAGCTTTTCAAGAAAAACAAGTAAAACTAAATTTAGTTTGCGTAAGCTTTTCAGACACTCACTTTTATAGTCTAAAAAAAAAACCCTATACGTCTACGGGCGTTTATTTTGAAAGAGAAACCGGAAACACCGCAGCTAGCAGGCGGAACTTGACGTTTCCCGTCTTTTAGCCATGCGGGTTTTACAGCAGAGTATATTGGACTTTTTCAGGCCTCAGAAAACGTTTCAGAACAAGAAAGAAACGTATAAATTACATAAAATTAATGTTTCAGAATATTTGTAAAACTCCTCCCTGTTATCTGACCCCACCTTTTGGCTGCTGCTTACTGATGGCGTTGAAACTCTGCCAAGTTTTCCTGTTTCGTAATTCTCTTTTTAATGTAGTTGTTACGTAAGAAAACAGGAGAATATGTAATCAGCAAATTAAGTAATACATTACTCAGATTGTCTCAACCGCTCTCAAACCAAGCTTTGCGTTATATTTCACTTTTGTTTGTTACAAAAAATTAAAAGCCAATTCTAATGATTACAACTTAAATTTTGCACATATAAATATTATTATTATTGTTGAATAAAGTGTTTGTGTGGGCAAAATATTGTACATATTTTCTCTCTTCAAATAAACTTTAATAACTTGTTTTGTATTTTAATTATTTAAAAGTTGTAGTCCATATCACCTAAATGTGGACTTTGTTTGTTGCTTATTTTACAAAAATGCAGTGATGTAGTTTATAGTTTGACATTTTAATTTAATGGTACACAGAAATAATTATTTTATGTTTTCTAGCCGTAAAGAAAACAAAACAAGTCTTTTTATTCAACTGTGTGCAAATTATGGAATTTAATACCTTCCTTAACAGATAAAAATGTCAATTATAAACTAAATCCTCTCTACCGGTTTTCCTGCTGCAGCCGTGGAACCTGAGGCAGACGGCGTAGCGGCGGACAGCGTGGCGGAAGTGACAAAGCAGCTGGATAAGCAGGCGATTGAGGAGAAGGACGAAGAAGGCGAGGAAGGTAAATATGCCAGCAAATCAGCAGTTTGTTATTCGGTTACTTTAACGTCTCAACATGTCGGTTTAACGGCTGCTTGTTTGTTCAGATGGAGACGATGGCGAAAACGCAGCAGGGAAAAAGAAGAAGAAGAAAAAGAAGAAGAAAGGATGTAAGAGGATGAGTTTTTTTTTTTTTTGAAGATTCATACTCTGTTGGACAAACTAATGCATTTCTTATTTATTTGGTTATTTTTTCAGCCAAAGCTCAAACAGATCCTCCGTCTGTCCCCATCTGTGAGTTGTACCCAAACGGCGTGTTTCCCATCGGACAGGAGTGTGAATATCCCGTCTGTCAGGACGGGTGAGTGTTTTAGACGTCTCTTTATTTTCACTTTGTTCGCCGAGGTTGTCGGCGCTAACCCGTGTTGTGGTTTCCCAGTCGGAGTGCGACGTGGCGTATGACCATGGAGGAGAGGCGGGTGATGGACAAAGCCAACGAGGAAGTGTGGAACGACTTCCGGCAGGCAGCCGAGGCCCACAGACAAGTCCGGAAACACGTCCGCAGCTTCCTGAAACCCGGACTCACCATGATAGAGATCTGGTGAGGCGGCTCAGACACACACTTGTTTAATAAAACATTTATTTTCTACATTCCTACTTTATTTTATGATTATTGTAATGTATTCTCCAGAAAAAATTAATAGACAACTTAAAATGATCAGTTTCTCTAATTTTGCTTCTTTTTATAGGTTTATGTTTGAGTAAAATGAACATTTTTCTTTTATTCTATGAACTACTGACAACATGTCTCTGACATTACAAGCAATAATTTAGTATTTATTAGCAGAAAATGATAAATGGTCAAAATAACAAAAAATACGCAGTGCTTTCAGATCTCAAATAACAAAAAGAAAACAAGTTAATATTAGTTTAGAAACAACAATAAAAATGTTTTAACTCAGGAAGAGTTCAGGAATCAATATGTGGTGGAATATCCAGGAGGTTTTCAGTGCGGTGGGCTCTGCTGGATGCTGGCCTTTTGATTTTGAGACAATCCAGAACTAATTCCCATTTTTTAAAAGCATGGGATTCCCTTTCAGACAATTTCTCAGTCTTTCCAATACAATAACTTCAGAAATGAAGTTTTTCCACAGCTGGACTGAAGAATCATCACAACCAATCAATTATGGACTTCCTACATGTGATGGACCGAGCAGTTAAGGAACAGCCAGGCACCGGTTTAAAGTCAAAATAGTTTTTTTTTATTTATTATTTAACCCAAACAAAACTTGGGTAAATAATAGAAAAAATGACAAAATTTGGGCCCATAAAAGAGGTCAAAGTAACAGACATCAACTCAGACTAACTCAAAAAAACAGACCTCCCAAACAGAGACAAAAGGGGACTTAAATACTGGCTGATCAGGCCACATAAAAAACACAAAAGGGGAAAATACACAGAAACCTAACTGAAACTAACATAACAAAATCCCATTCCCCCCCTCTGGATGATGCGTAGTGGTGTGAACCAATTTGCAGTCTCAACTGGCTTGCTCCACCCCTTCTCCACCTCTCTGCTCTCCTAAGGATTGGGCCAGCCAGCACTTAAGAAACTCAGAAACAAAACAAAGATTATATCAAGCAAA